TGCAAGCAGGTCGACTGCCAGCGCAGCATGGTCGACCGCGCGCCAGCACAACTTGGTCGACCGCGCTCCAGCAGCGCAGAGTCGCGGCTTGCCAACACTGCAGGTCGACGGCGTGCCAACGTCGCAGGTTGACGGCGCGCCAACGTTGCTCCCGCAGGACAGCAGCGCACCTACTTCGCAGGTGCTCGCAGACGATTGGCGTGCAGTGCCTCGTCACCTGCACAACGCACACACCACATCAACTTCGTGCTGACGACTGCTTCTGATGCACCACGTCGACCTCGGGATACCATTACCGAGGTCGTCCTCGCCAAAACCACCTGGGCGACCATCGCAAGCCTTCGCAGCACCTCGTCACCTAGGTAACCTGGTCGACCGGGCAACCAGGTCGACCAGAGGCTCCAGTGCGTGCCCGTCGACCACCCAAGTCGACGACCACTTCCAGTCGACCTCCCCAGGTCGACCACTATCCCCTGGTCGACCAGCTCCAAGTCGACGTTGTCAGAATATTATGCTCTAGCCTGCAGTGGGGTGCTCTATAGCGAGTACAACCCTTCTAGGGTTAGCTATTTGTACCACCATTGTTGCTAGTGCAACCCTCTCCTTTGCTTCATTCTCTCTTGCCTAGCTAGGTCAACCCTAGCTATGGCTCCTCATCGTGCTTACTATCTCGACATGCTATCAGAGCAGGACGATCCAGATGGGTCGATCCTGTGGGTGGGCCCCACCACCTCAGTCTTCCGCTGCTCCTACTACTGTTTGTGTCGCACGCCCCGTGGCGTGCGACGGATTTTTCATCCCGCCGCGCGCACGGGGCGTGCGGCGGTTTTCCTACCCGCCGTGCGCCCCGGACGCGCGGCGGTTTCCTACCGTGGGGGACCCCCGCGCGCCCCCGATTTCCCGTTCCGCTGCCCTGGGGAGCCGCGCGCGACCCCCCGCTGCCCCGATTTCCCGTCGCCCGCGGCCCCCCGTTCCCGTCGCCCGCGGCCCCCCGTTCCCGTCGCCCGCGGCCCCCCCGTTCCCGTCGCCCGCGGCCCCCCCGTTCCCGTCGCCCGCGGCCCCCCATTCCCGTCGCTCGCGGCCCCCCCCCGTTCCCGTCACTCGCGACCCCCCGCTGCCCCTTCGCGGCGCCCTAAGGAGCCGCGCGCGGCCCCTCGCTGCCCCGTGGTGGCGTCCTGGGGGCCGCGCGCCGTCCCCCTCGCCGTCCCCCGCGCTCCTTCCCCCGTTCCGCCCGTTTTAGGGTTTGGGGGTGAGGAGTGTGGGGGTGGCGGCTATGGGGGTGTCGGTTGTGAGTTACTCCTCCTGCTCCTCCTCCTCCCTCGTCTCCCTCTGCTACAGCTGCCGCTGAGGGGGGTGGTGTGTGGGAGCCTAGGGTTTGGGGTTTAAGGGGGGTACCGTGGGAGTGGAGCTAGGGTTTGAAGCAGGGGGTGTGTGTCGAGGGGTGTGGGACTGTTGGGGGAGGTTGAGCGGAGGTTGCCGTCGTGTCGTACGCAGCGCCTGTACTCCGGGGCACTCATTCCCGGTAGCTCAGAGAGCCGGTTGCGCCGTCGCCTGTGGGTCCGTTGCTCCTGTCGCGCGTATTAGCCGCGGAGCCTGTTACTCCTGTACTCCGGGGCACTCATTCCCGGTAGCCACTGTGTCGCACCAGAGCCGTCTGTTGCCCGTGTGTCTGCAGCTTCAGTCGTCGCCTCCTAATCTACTCTCCTCTCGCCAGCCCTCCTCCTCCTCACTTACCCTCTGTGACTGCCTCTAGCTTTACTCATAATTGTGAACTTTAAACTATTCCTTCTTGAACTTGTGCTCAGAATGTGTGGTGACATCGTGATCCACCCTGAGCTTGTACTGCTTTGCTAGCTCTGCTGATTACACCCCACTTTGGCTATGGGGGTGTGTCAGAATATTATGCTCTAGCCTGTAGTGGGGTGCTCTATAGCGAGTACAACCCTTCTAGGGTTAGCTATTTGTACCACCATTGTTGCTAGTGCAACCCTCTCCTTTGCTTCATTCTCTCTTGCCTAGCTAGGTCAACCCTAGCTATGGCTCCTCATCGTGCTTACTATCTCGACAGACGTCACTCCTGGTCGACCAGAACGGCTGGTCGACTTACCAGGTCGACCAGAAGGTCTGGTCGACTTCCCAAGTCGACCAGAAGGGCTGGTCGACGTCCCGGGTCGACCACCCGAAGTTGGCGCCCTCCCGAAGTCGCGGGCCCAGTCCACCATCCGCACGTATGAGCCATACTGGCGGCAGTACCGCACTTTCTGCTCCAAACACTCGCTCCAGTCGCTTCCTGCCAACGATCTTACCACAGCTCTCTTCTTGCTGCACTCGATCCGGTCCGGTGTGACGCTATCTGCCGTTCGTTCCATCTGTTCTGCCATCTCCTGTGCTCATTGGCTCCTAGGTGCCCCATCCCCTATCAAAGGGCCTCTCTCTTCACATGCTAAGGCTTATGCCCAACGCATATCTGTCCGGCCCCACCGGGTTAAAGACCCAGTGCCCCCCTCCAAAATATACGACATGTGCGACATCTACTTCTCCTCACGCGATCTAGCTACCTTCCAGAAAGGGCTTATTCCGCTCCTTATGTTCTCGGCCTTTATGCGCTTCTCTGACCTCGTTGCCCTTCAGTGGCACCAAATTGAGTTTGATGCCGACTGCATGTGGCTTTTCGTCCCTCGCTCCAAGACTGATCAACGGGGTGCTGGTGCCTGGGTCCCCGTGGCTGCGTCAAATGCTCGCCACTGCCCCGTTGCTCGCGTTAAGGAATTCCTCTTTTTGGCAGGATTCTCTCGTGCGTCCATTGGCTCTCTCATTCGCGTATTTCGACCCGGCTCAGGCGCGTTGCCTTCAGACGCCCCACTGTCCTACACTACCGTGCGGAACTGGTGCCGCGAGGCCTTCGCTCGCGTCGGCTTGGACCCGGCCACCCTTGGGACGCACTCGTTTCGGAAGACGGCAGCTACACTCGCTGTTGATGCCGGTGCTCCTGATCGCCTTTTTATGGCTCTGGGACGGTGGCGCAGCGATGGTGCGAAGGAGATGTACGCTACTCAGCTCGATTCCGAGTTGATTCGCGCATCCCGGCTCATGCAAGACCCAGCTCGGCAGAGCGCTACCGCCCGCTACGCGGTCACGGTCCACCGTATTCGACACCGCCCTTCACCCTGATGTTTCGTTTTGTCCTATGACGACTGCATTGCAGACTCCTTGCAGAGTCTTTTCACAATATGAAAAATTTAGAAATATATTTCTAAATTTAATGATTGTGACAAGATTCTAAAAGGGGAATACAATAAGGAGGCATTCCCCCCTTTATCCCTCGGCAGGTCCACAGACCTGCCACCTAGTCTCATTCTATCCATCTCAATTTGAGTTCCCTCCCGCCCACCCCCTCGCACGCGTAGATGCCTAGCTAGTTTAAGATTCTAGGTTTAGGGTTTAGGGTTTGAGTAGTTCACTTGCTTGTTCTTACTACTGATATAGTGTGACATGTAATTGATGATGATACTATGACGACTGCATTGCAGACTCCTTGCAGAGTCTTGTCACAATGGCAAAATATACGCGGACCAAAAGGATGACCGCACCTGCCTGACAGAATCAGGCGACAAGATTCGAACTTGAAATCTCAATCTTCACAAGTCCCAAATGTACTGACCAGACCATTGGGGGCTGCACATGGACATTTCAAAGAGCAATTTACCTGGTAAGCAATATATCTTCATAGGATTCGTCTGAAAAGCTTGACAATGTTACATCTTTCGTCTGACAATCAGACAGAGAGCCAGGACCCGGTCTTAAAGCCAGACGGGTCATTTTACTGAAGTTAGTCCTTGTGAGGACCCCCTTTCTGCCCCTAATCATCATAAGACCCCTCTTTTATATTGTTATTACAATAGTGCATCAGATTTTACTGGAAAAAGTTCGAATTCTGACATGTTTTTTGTGTCAGACTCGAATTCTGACACTTTATTTGTGTCAAAGCCGAATTCAGGCACAAATCTGACGCGCCGCGCGCGCGAAATTTACACACGAAGGGTGCTTTCCGTTACGAATATAAGCGCGCCGCCCCCCCCCCCCCCCCCCCCCCCCCCCCCCCCCCCCCCCCCCCCCCCCCCCCCCCCCAAATTGAGCCATACACCCTAAATAACAAATTGATAGTTGATAAATAAGTGTACCCCGGGTCTTAGAAATTTGCTGCCGCAATAATGTCCACCCAAGCATATTTCCAAGCATTTCTAGATAGTCCCCCGGGTCTTATAGCTGGAACTATACGGAATGTGAACTAGCTCTATTACCGGTAATGGAGATTCAGTCACTGAGAATTGTAAGACTATTGGTTCTATGAATGAGATCATAAACGCTCCTACTCTGATACTATGTTGGGTTGGAAAAGTAGCCGTAGGATCTTTTATAGTTTAGCATTGAGAAGTGCTCCAGCGGAAGTATGTGAATTCCTGTGCTAGTCGGATGTGAGAACAAGAAATGATAATTGTTAAAGTACATGAAATATATTGTCTATCAAAGTATCTTTTTGGTAATACATCTATTTGTCAACTGGGCCTTTTATCGGGTCGACTACTGAAGCGATACTTTCCTGTGCGACGCGATCAGCCACGAGACCGCACGCACTACTACCTGTGACTCAGATTCCAAGATGGTATTAGCAGTAGGTTAGTTCCAAGCCAGGATCTCAAGTAAGAAAAGTTGGGCGCCCCGTCCCACCCTTAACGCCCCTCGCCCCGTTTGTAATGCGCTCCGTCCTTAGCGCGCCCCGTAACGCCCCGTAGCACGCCCTGTCCTAGGCGAACGCGCGCGCAGCAGCTCCTGCACGCACCCGCGCGCGCATAGGCCGCCCCACGCTGCTCTTCCCCCCCCCCCGCCCCCCGTTTTTCGTCCCGTCCCGCGCCCTGCCCTGCCGCGCGCACACAGCTGCAGAACTGCACCTACCCTTCACCCGTACCTGCGGTCTTTCAGCGGCGTCGCCGGTCGTCGCGATGGCCCCTGCGGCGACGGTGAGCTCGCAGCTGGCGGGGCTGCAGCAGTGGGCGAAGCGCGTGCTGCTGGCGGAACTCGTCGCGCCCGGCGATGAGGTAAGCCGCCTGGACTCCCCTCGGAGGGGACGGGTGCACCATGGCCGCGCGATGGCCGCGCGATGGCCGCGCGATGGCCGCGCGATGGGTGGGCGATGGGTGGGCGATGGGTGGGCGATGGGTGTGCGATGGGTGTGCGATGGGTGGGCGATGGGTGAGCGATGGGTGTGCGATGGGTGGGCGATGGGTGGGCGATGGGTGGGCGATGGGTGTGCGATGGCCGCGCGATGGGTGGGCGATGGGTGGGCGATGGGTGGGCGATGGGTGTGCGATGGGTGTGCGATGGGTGGGCGATGGGTGAGCGATGGGTGTGCGATGGGTGTGCGATGGGTGTGCGATGGGTGGGCGATGGGTGTGCGATGGGTGGGTGATGGGGAGAGCGGCTGACAGAGTAGCATGCCCCCTGGCGGTAGAGCTTTTGAGGGGACGAGGAGGAGCAGGGACGAGGGAGAAAGACGTGATAGGGATGGTTTAGCGCATGGCTGAGATGATGCATGCGTGCTCACCCCGCGCATTGTGTGCGCCTCTCTGTGCGCGCGTGTGAGTGGTGGCAGGTGTGTGAGATGTTCTGTGGTCGCGGGGAGGACACGCCGCTGTGGGTCAACGCGCACATCGCCTCCTACCTGGGCGTTGGTGAGTACCACGTGGGCGTCGGTGAGTGCCACGTGGGCGTCGGTGAGTGCCACGTGGGCGTCGGTGAGTGCCACGTGGGCGTCGGTGAGTGCCACGTGGGCGTCGGTGAGTGCCACGTGGGCGTCAAGTAGTCCACCGCTCGCTGCGTGTGAGCCCACTCCCCCTTCTCTTTTAACCTACTACCCCCAACTCCCTTCCCCCCCCCTCCTCCCCCCCCCCTCTTCCCATGGCATGGCACGGGTGGGGGGCACGGCAGACGTGACGCCGTCGTCGCTGGAGGAGGCGGCGGAGGAGTGGCGCGCGCACGGCGCCCCCTATGGCGCCGCCTTCCACTACGCCGACCCCTCCCTCGTATTGAATTAGAGAAGTTACTGTTCGCAAAGAAAAACAAAATTTAAAATAGTTATAAACTACATATTTAACCGTGTTCATTTTTTTTTGTTCTGCGGTTCGAAGCGGTGATTCGCTCATCTCTACTGCTCCGCGCCCTTGTCTGTGCAGGCGCCGCTCTCGCTGGCAGCGGTGGGGCGCGTCACGCCCTTCAACGTCGTCTGCTGCAGCCCCCGTGTGCAGGTGCCATGCGTTTTGAACCCTCATGCCACTTGGTGTGATGCATGTTTTTTCATCACACCAGCAGCTTTCCTCATTCCTAATCACTGCCTTATGATCTCTCATGCAACCACCCTTCCTCTACCCACCTTCTCACGTATCCCCACATACGACCCCCCTCCTCCACCTCAACACCCTCCCCAATGAACGTGTGGGCGGGCGGCGGGCAGGACTGGTTTGCCTCGCAGCGCACGGCATCGCAGTTCCTGGCGAATGTGGCGGCGCTGCTGCTGCCGGGGGGGATCTTCTTCGGCCTCCTGCCCGACTCCTCCACGCTCTGGTATGCCCGACTCCTCCACGCTCTGGTATGCCCGACTCCTCCACGCTCTGGTATGCCCGACTCCTCCACGCTCTGGTATGCCCGACTCCTCCACGCTCTGGTATGCCCGACTCCTCCACGCTCTGGTATGCCCGACTCCTCCACGCTCTGGTATGCCCGACTCCTCCACGCTCTGGTATGCCCGACTCCTCCACGCTCTGGTATGCCCGACTCCTCCACGCTCTGGCAATCATCACCATTCAACTTGCTTATGTGTTACTCACACTTGCGAGTATGTTGTTTTGTTCATCTGGCTGAAACACAAGTCTAGAGCAACTAAAACCTGCCGGTCCAGGGTCAGGGCGTATCTTGTGGCCTTGATGAGCGTTGTAACCCGTCCAGGGTGAAGCGAACTCCTTCTCTCTCAAGCATCTGCTGCAAGCTGTAGAAACCTCGGGAACCTGTAAGCACTCAAGAACCTGTAAGCACTCAAGAACCTGTAAGCACTCAAGAACCTGTAAGCACTCAAGAACCTGTAAGCACTTAAGAACGGGTAGGCACTAAGGCACCTGGCTGGCCTTACAGCGTTTGAAGCCCTCATGTCTACACTCTTCTGCTTGCTTAGAACTTTGTACCCAACTCGTGTTCAGCACCCATCAACTCGTGTTCAGCACATGACAGCTGGCTGACACCTCTTGACGTCGCCGCACCGCCGGCCATGTGGGGTGCAGTGCAGCACTGTGTGCTTCTACACAGGCATGCCCCGCCACATGCCCACCGCTCCACCCCGCCAGGTACAAGCAGCAGCGCGCCATCGATGCTGCCAAGGCTGCTGCCGGGCCGGGCGGTGCGGCACCCACGCGGGCGGTGATCCGGTCGTCGCTCTACTCCATTGCGTTCGAGAAAGCAGTGCCGTTTGATGACAACAAGTGAGACGGCACTCACCTCTTATTCCTCTTTCTCGTGCTTGACCCGTTCCTTCATACATGCCTTGTATCGTCACACATGTTTGCTCCCGACTTGCCCTTCCATTCCCCTCCTCTCACTCGTCACACCATTATTTCCATCGGCTAACCAACCAACACCTCTTCCATTACATGCTCCTGCCCCACCGTGCTGCCCCCTGCTTGCCGGCCCACCAGGGCGGTGTTTGATTTGCGCTTCTCCCTCAAGTGTGCCGATGCCAACAGCCTGCCCATCAAGTCTCTCCTCGTCCACTTCCCCACTCTCATTAGGTGCACTGCACTTCCCCTATATCCTTGTTCCCTCCATAGCATCTGCTGCTGTCGCGCTTGCTGTATCTCGCCCCTTGCCGTACTGTGCCAACCGGTGATGAGGTGGTGTCGGGTGGTCGGGGTTGCTGTGCAGTGCACCTGATGGGCCCACGGGGGTCTCGCTTCATGCTCCTGCCTCCTGCATCTGCTGCATTGCCATCGCTGCTGCTGCCTTGTCTCACTCCAACCTGCTCCTCCACCCTGCCACACGTCTTCTTCTTGCCCCCTCTCTCCCACATTTCCTACTCTCTAATATTGCCGCCTGTCACTCTCCCATGCCCCTATGTGCTCTGTGTTCCCCCCCACTGTTTCCTCATGCCCATGTCTTCCCAAATGCCTCCATCGTCTCTCCTGCGCACGGCGTGGCAGGTTGGCGGAGGTGGAGGGGTTGCAGCTGATCGACATTGTCAACCTCGAGACGCTTTTCAACGACACCAGGTGAGACGCTTTTCAACGACACCAGGTGAGACGCTTTTCAACGACACCAGGTGAGACGCTTTTCAACGACACCAGGTGAGACGCTTTTCAACGACACCAGGTGAGACGCTTTTCAACGACACCAGGTGAGACGCTTTTCAACGACACCAGATGAGACGCTTTTCAACGACACCAGGTGAGACGCTTTTCAACGACACCAGGTGAGACGCTTTTCAACGACACCAGGTGAGACGCTTTTCAACGACACCAGGTGAGACGCTTTTCAACGACACCAGGTGAGACGCTCTTCAACGACACCAGGTGAGACGCTCTTCAACGACACCAGGTGAGACGCTCTTCAACGACACCAGGTGAGACGCTTTTCAACGACACCAGGTGAGACGCTCTTCAACGACACCAGGTGAGACGCTCTTCAACGACACCAGGTGAGACGCTCTTCAACGACACCAGGTGAGACGCTTTTCAACGACACCAGGTGAGACGCTCTTCAACGACACCAGGTGAGACGCTCTTCAACGACACCAGGTGAGACGCTTTTCAACGACACCAGGTGAGACGCTCTTCAACGACACCAGGTGAGACGCTTTTCAACGACACCAGGTGAGACGCTTTTCAACGACACCAGGTGAGACGCTTTTCAACGACACCAGGTGAGACGCTTTTCAACGACACCAGGTGAGACGCTTTTCAACGTCACCAGGTGAGACGCTTTTTAACGACACCAGGTGAGACGCTCTTCAACGACACCAGGTGAGACGCTTTTCAACGACACCAGGTGAGACGCTCTTCAACGACACCAGGTGAGACGCTTTTCAACGACACCAGGTGAGACGCTCTTCAACGACACCAGGTGAGACGCTTTTCAACGACACCAGGTGAGACGCTCTTCAACGACACCAGGTGAGACGCTTTTCAACGACACCAGGTGAGACGCTTTTTAACGACACCAGGTGAGACGCTCTTCAACGACACCAGGTGAGACGCTTTTCAACGACACCAGGTGAGACGCTCTTCAACGACACCAGGTGAGACGCTTTTCAACGACACCAGGTGAGACGCTTTTCAACGACACCAGGTGAGACGCTCTTCAACGACACCAGGTGAGACGCTCTTCAACGACACCAGGTGAGACGCTCTTCAACGACACCAGGTGAGACGCTTTTCAACGACACCAGGTGAGACGCTCTTCAACGACACCAGGTAAGACGCTTTTCAACGACACCAGGTGAGACGCTTTTCAACGACACCAGGTGAGACGCTTTTCAACGACACCAGGTGAGACGCTTTTCAACGACACCAGGTGAGACGCTTTTCAACGTCACCAGGTGAGACGCTTTTTAACGACACCAGGTGAGACGCTCTTCAACGACACCAGGTGAGACGCTCTTCAACGACACCAGGTGAGACGCTTTTCAACGACACCAGGTGAGACGCTCTTCAACGACACCAGGTGAGACGCTTTTCAACGACACCAGGTGAGACGCTTTTCAACGACACCAGGTGAGACGCTCTTCAACGACACCAGGTGAGACGCTCTTCAACGACACCAGGTGAGACGCTTTTCAACGACACCAGGTGAGACGCTTTTCAACGACACCAGGTGAGACGCTCTTCAACGACACCAGGTAAGACGCTTTTCAACGACACCAGGTGAGACGCTTTTCAACGACACCAGGTGAGACGCTTTTCAACGACACCAGGTGAGACGCTTTTCAACGACACCAGGTGAGACGCTTTTCAACGTCACCAGGTGAGACGCTTTTTAACGACACCAGGTGAGACGCTCTTCAACGACACCAGGTGAGACGCTTTTCAACGACACCAGGTGAGACGCTCTTCAACGACACCAGGTGAGACGCTTTTCAACGACACCAGGTGAGACGCTCTTCAACGACACCAGGTGAGACGCTTTTCAACGACACCAGGTGAGACGCTCTTCAACGACACCAGGTGAGACGCTTTTCAACGACACCAGGTGAGACGCTTTTTAACGACACCAGGTGAGACGCTCTTCAACGACACCAGGTGAGACGCTTTTCAACGACACCAGGTGAGACGCTCTTCAACGACACCAGGTGAGACGCTTTTCAACGACACCAGGTGAGACGCTCTTCAACGACACCAGGTGAGACGCTTTTCAACGACACCAGGTGAGACGCTTTTCAACGACACCAGGTGGGCACCATGCCAACCACTCCAACTTGTTCACGCCAAACCTGGTCAAACGGATAACCTCGCAGAATCAAACCTGCTCGGTTCCGGTCGAACCACAACGTGGTGGCCGAGGTTCGATATTCGACCCCCAGTTGTCGAAACTGCTTCTACCCAAACTGGTTCAGTTCGGCTCGACAGGGCCATTTAGGGTATTATTTGAAGAGTTCATTTCTAGTTTTGTTTAGCTTAAAGCCAGGGTCTCAAGTAGACCAAGTTCTTTGCAGTCGATGGAAAACGGGCTTGTCTGATTGGTTTACAAATTTGGGCCAAAGTTTTGACAAATCGAGTCTCTCCAAAGAACCCACTTTTCGCCCAAGTTAGGAGCAGTGGGAAGGCAACAGTCATGGTCAAGTTAGGGTCAAACTGATAAGGAACCTCAAGAAGTACACGATGGAATAATCTAGCAACCTACGGTCAGCAACATAGGTGCTCGCGTCTAGGCCCAGTGCGGCTCGCCTTTCACCCCGGCCGGGCCGACTATTCTCAAGTCCTGCCAGGGAATGGGCCGGCCCGGTTCGGAGATTTTGCCGAGTAGTACTGGGTCAACCTTCCAAGCTATAAACCTCTGAGGTGGAGAGCCAGTGGCTTCCCTGACGCCCATGGCCAACCCTCATGCCTCCGCTCGCCCCTCCCTCTGCTCCCCCCCCCCTGCAGGACGCCTGCCAGCATGCGTCTGCTGGCGCACATCTGCCCCGCTGCACTGCTCTCCCTGCCCGACCCACGCGGCGATGCTGCTGCTGCAGCGGCGGCGGGTGCAGCAGCGGGCGAGGGGGCGGGAGGGCGGCCTGTGGACGCGGCTGTGCACGTCGGCCTCTCTGCTGCGGCACGCGACCTGCTGAGTGAGTGCTGCTGGCGACCTGCTGAGTGAGTGCTGCTGGCGACCTGCTGAGTGAGTGCTGCTGGCGACCGCCCATCCGGGCACCCATGGGAAGCAGTGCCAGTGTGCCGCACATTCCACTGCTTACTGCCCATAGCCCTCTCCTCCCTTCGCACTTGCTTACGAGACACCCACGTTTTCCTCCTCGTGTGCCCCTCATGCCCCCCTGCGTGCGCCCCTGGGCAGGTCTCTTCGCGGTCTTCATCTTCGCCAAGCCGCTGCCCGCCCCTCGCCTGCCGCCGCCACCGCCACCACCCACACCGCCAGCAGCGGCAGCAGGCGAGGTGGCTGGGCAGGCAGGCGAGGGAGGGGGGGCGGGGGAGATGCGGGCGGCACGTGTGTGTGCAGCCACCTCCGCCGCACCACTGGATGAGCCCACCTCGTTGCCTCCCTGCCCTCCTCCCATGCTGCCCGTGCCCCCTGCACCAGCACACGCTGCCACCACCGCTGCCCCTCCTCCTGCCGCCTCGGCATCCGCAGCTCACGCGGTGGTGAGTGGCGCGGCTGCACGCACGTGGCCCTCGCCCCCACCCGCACTGCCTGCTGGCGCAGTGGGCATGGCACACACACATGGTGGTGCGCCCTGCCCCGCTGCTGCTCTGCCACACATGAGTGCCGCCGTGCGCCTGGAGGTGAGCGCGGGGCCCTCCTTGCCGCCCCGTGCGCAGGAGGGGCGTGCTGACACGAGCCCACGCGGCGAGGTGAGAGGCAGTGCGGGTGCAGGCAGGGGCGAGAGGGTCGAGAGGGAAGCGAGTGAGGTGGGCAGGGGGGCGCGCGGCGTGTGGGACCTGGACGACCCGCACGCCTCCGACGACGACCTCCTCCCCTCCCCCTCCCCCTCCCCCTGGGCACTCGCCCATCCCCCTCCCGCACCCCCTCCCCCTCAGCCTCCCCTCTCCGCCCCCCCTTACCACCCACCTGCCTCCTGCCTGCCCCCTACACGTGGCAACGTGGGCGTGGGTGGGGAAAGGCAGGCGTCGGGTGCTGCGACCATGCAGAGGGGGATGTGGGGGGCGCGGGATGACAGGGAGCGGAGAGGGGGAAGGGGACAGCGGGAGGAGAGGGGGGAAAGGGGGGAAGAAGGGGCAAGAGAGGAGAGGGGGGAGAGGGGCGAAAGAATGCAGGACGAAGTGGTGGTGGCGCAAAGGGGAACTGCAGAGAATGAGCATCAAAACGGTGGGGTGATGGGAAGAATGAGTGGGATGGATGAGAAGGAGCAGTCCTCCCATGTGCCCGCGCTGCATCCATGCCCTCCTGGGCCGCAGCACAGTGCTGCGAGGCAGAGTGAGTGCCTCGCGCACGAGCAGAGTGATTGGGGCGAGCCGCGTGGGGGGCCAGGCGAGCAGCGTGGGGGGCCAGGCGAGCAGCGTGGGGGGCCAGGCGAGAGTCACACTGGTCGGCTCGAGATGCACTCCCACTCTCACGCCCAGTGCCCTGAGCAGCAGCAGCAGCAGCAGCAGAGGCAAGGCCATGTGCATGTGTCCCCGAATGCCGCCGTGCAGAGCAGCGCGGTGCGCATGGCATCCCCGACTCGCCTGCCCCAGGGGGCGCTGCCCGCCCCGGTGCAGCGCAGAGGCAGTGCTGGCAGCACCGCGGGGGAGGCTGGGGACGGCGGAGATGGCAGAGAGGGAGGGGAGGGAGAGGAAGGTGGGGGCGCGGTGAGGTGGCGGGCGCAGGGCAAGCGTGAGCGCAGCCGCAGGAAGGCGCGCGGGGTGGCGATGGACGACATCCTCAGGCGCACGCCCATGCTTGCTGCCCGCGGCCTGGTGGGGCCTGAGGGGTGCTGTGAGGCGCACGAGAGTAGCGCCCGGGATGGTGAGGAGGGGAGGGCGGGAGATGGAATGGGAGTGCGGGAGGGGTGGGTGCTGGGGGAGGCAGGGCGCGGGTGCAACGAAGGGGAGGGGAGGGCGGGCCAGAGGAGGGGGGAGGTGGATGAGTGGGAGGAGTGGCACCGGCGGCAGATGGCTGCTGGGGGGCATGCGGGGCTTGTGGGGCTTGTGGGGCATGCGGGGCGCGCAGGGCAGGCGGTGCTGAGCAGTGCGCAGCCTGCCAGGCATGACGGCAGCACTGCTGCTGCTGCAGTGGTGGAGCGAGTGAGGGAGGCGCATGCAGGTGGAGAGGCAGGGATGCATGCAGGTGGAGATGCAGGGATGCATGCAGCAGCGCAAGACAGTGAGACAGCACTTTGGGCATTGGGAGTTGCAGGCGCTGCGGGTGGAGGCGGACAAGGAGGAGGTGTCCCCTTTGTGCCACACGATGGCTCGTCCAGTGAGGTGCATGCAGGTGGTGCGGTGGAGCACGAGCCCCTCATCACCTACTCACTCAAGCGCCACCGCAAATCCCTCAACAAGGAGCACAACTGAAAGCAGACCATTCATCACACCAGCCACTTTGGCTATCTTATCTTGAATGGCAACCCCTACCCTACCACATACCGTAATCACCCGGATATAAAAACCCACCATTTGTAGACCCCTGGGTATACAATACGAACATGGGTCTTATATTTGGGTATGTTTTTGTTATACCCCCCTAATTGGCTGTGACCATTATAAGACCCCCCCCCCCCCCCCCCCCTCCCCCACCCCGAACCCCGTCCACATGGATGACCTTTTCAAGGCTTTTACTTTAGTCAAACACACATACAGGCCCACACATAGAGCATAACCAGGTAATATCACAAGAGCCTAGCTAGAAACTACTTCATCTAGTCGTCATCCTGCCCTGCACCCACTCCTCCACCTCCTCCCCATCTTAGCGGCATGGGGCCCACCACTTGTCGTCATCGCTCCACCTATAAGCACCTCCACCTGGCCTCTCTTGCACACTCACCCTCCTCCTCCTCCTCCTCCTCCTCCTCCTCCTCCTCCTCCTCCTCCTCCTCCTCCTCCTCCTCCTCCTCCTCCTCCTCCTCCTCCTCCTCCTCTCCTCGTCCTCGTCCTCGTCCTCGTCTCCTCCTCCTCCTCCTCCTCCTCCTCCTCCTCCTCCTCCTCCTCCTCCTCCTCCTCCTCCTCCTCCTCCTCCTCCTCCTCCTCCTCCTCCTCCTCCTCCTCCTCCTCCTCCTCCTCCTCGTCCTCGTCGTCGTCCTCCTCCTCCCCCTCCTCCTCCTCGTCCTCATGATCATCGTCCTTATCCGACGATGAATCTGTCATCACGTCCTTCGCCGCAGCAGCCTCAGCCTTTAACACTCTGTCATCACGTCCTTCGCCGCAGCAGCCTCAGCCTTTAGCACTCTGTCATCACGTCCTTCGCCGCAGCAGCCTCAGCCTTTTGCACTCTGTCATCACGTCCTTCGCCGCAGCAGCCTCAGCCTTTAGCCCTCTGTCATCACGTCCTTCGCCGCAGCAGCCTCAGCCTTTAGCACTATGTCATCACGTCCTTCGCCGCAGCAGCCTCAGCCTTTAGCACTCTGTCATCACGTCCTTCGCCGCAGCAGCCTCAGCCTTTAGCACTCTGTCATCACGTCCTTCGCCGCATCAGCCTCAGCCTTTAGCCCTCTGTCATCACGTCCTTCGCCGCAGCAGCCTCAGCCTTTAGCCCTCTGTCATCACGTCCTTCGCCGCAGCAGCCTCAGCCTTTAGCACTCTGTCATCACGTCCTTCGCCGCAGCAGCCTCAGCCTTTAGCCCTCTGTCATCACGTCCTTCGCCGCAGCAGCCTCAGCCTTTAGCACTGCCTCGGCCTCGTTCTCTACATCTTCGCGAGCCGGGACAGCCGTTGAGTCAGGGTAGAAGGGGTTGGGGACGGGCTCGTCCATATCCTCCTCCTGCACATTATCGAGCACATCTTGTCAAACATATATATATATATATATGTATATATACATATATATATGTTATATCTATGGTAGGCTGTAGTGGGGTAGATACTGTGGGGTATAACCCCTTAGGGTTTCCATCTTGTACCATTCTCTCGATACTCCCTATCATTCCTGCCTAAGTCTGAGATGGTATCTAGAGCAGTAGGTCTTTAGGACCTAAGATTCGGGCCCACCGGTTACCGTATTACCTCACCTACAGCCTTACCTGCCTGCCTGCCTTGCCAGCCTGTCTGCCTTGCCTGCTGCCCGCGCGCACGTATCTTTTTTTTTTTTAGCGCGCGCTGCTGCTGCCAGCCGCGTCGCACCCCGCACGTCGCCCGCGCAGCCCCCCCTGACCCCGCGCGCGGCCCGCAGCTGCCCCGCGCACCGCCCGCGCAGCCCGCGCCGAGCCCGCGCAGCCCGCGCCGAGCCCGCGCAGCCCGCGCGCAGCTCGCGCACCGCCCGCGCAGCTCGAGCCGCGCCCTGCCAGCCTGCGCGCGGCCCGCCGCTGCCCTGCGTGCCGCCTTACCTGCTCGCGCCGCGCCTCCACAGCCTGCGCGTGCCTTACTGCTGCCTCGTGCGCTACCTGAGGTGCCTCCAGCTACTTTACGCGTCGCCTCTACTGCTCGCGTGCTCACTCTGCGGCCCTGCGCACGGTCTCCTTTCGCCGCTGCCTTTGCCTGCACCGCGATTATGGCGACGTTCAATGTTCTCGCGTTTGAGCCTGACGGTAGCCCGATCGAGTTCGCCATCTGGCTCGACGACCTCACACTGTTCCTTATGACTGATGCCAAAGACAACGTTTCACTGTTCGATCACACGTCTGGCACTGCCGTTACTTTTCCTGACGATGCTCATGCTTCCGACTGCTCACAGTGGCAGACTCGCGATGCTGCTGCGCGCCTCGCTATTCGCAACCACCTGCCGATCACTGAGCGCGCGCATTTTAGCCAGCACAAGACTGCGAAGGCACTGTACGACGCTGTAGTTGCGCGCTACTCCTCCCCGGCCACTGCAGCGTTAGGCCGTCTCATGCTACCCTACCTGTTCCCCGACCTGTCCTCGTTCCACACTGCTGAGGACCTCATCGCTCACCTGCGCGCTAGTGACACTCGTTTTCGTTCCGCCCTTACAGACGAGTTCCTCGCCAAGAACACCCCTCCGATGTACTTTACGCTCTACTTCCTCGTCACCCGCCTCCCTGACTCTCTTCGCTCAGTCAGGGACCACTTTCTCGCCCTCGACCCTACCGCGCTCACCGTCGACGACTTCGAGACGCATCTCCTCGCAGCGGAGAAGAACATCCTTGCTGTGGGTGCGGCTCGTGGCACTCCTCGCACTCCCCTCTTTGAGGGGTGCTCCCCCTCCCCCCTTGCCCCCTCCTACGCCTCTGCTGCTGCTGCTGTCGACTTCCTTGGTGCTGAGGAGGTTGGGGCTGCTTCCGCTCCTAGTGGGAAGCGCCGCAGCACCCGGGGCAGAGGGGCTGGCAGGGGAGGTGGAGGTGGCGGTGGAGGGGGTGGTGGTGGCGGCGGCGGGGGAGGTGGAGGAGGTGGAGGTGGTCGGGGTGGTGGCGGTGGTGGTGGAGGCGGCGGTGGTACCGGGAGCAGTGGCGGTGGCAGCGGCGGTAGTGGGGGAGGAGCCAGTGGTGGTGGCAGCAGTGGTGGCCAGGGCCAGCAGCAGCAGCAGCAGCAGCAGCCGCCGCAGCAACACCAGCCGCAGCAGTAGCAGAAGCAGCAGCGCCAGCGCCAGACCTCCACTATTCAGCAGCTCCATGACTGGTATGTTGGGCGTGGGGCGTCTGGGGGTCCTGATCACTGTCCCTATATCATTCGCGCAGGTCCCCGCGCTGGTCGCCCATGCAATGGTCTTCACGCTGAGTCTCGCTGCTTTGCTCGGCTTAGCGACGCCTGGCGCGTCAAGTTTCCTGCGGCTACTGAGTTGCCCAACTGGGCAGACCTGCTTAGGCGTGGTGTTCCTATCTTTGATCTTGACTATGATGTTATTCTTGCTGCCATGTATGCATTGACTGTTAGTGCTAAGGGTGACTGCTACTTGTTTATGCCGCATGATCCTGGTATTGACCCTGGTATAGCGCCTGCAGCTCTAGGTGCTAGTGAGTCTGCTCTCTCTAGTACTGCGCCTGCTGAGGCCTTGCACACTTTCACCCTTGACTCAGGTGCTTCCCGCTGCTTCTTTCGCGACAGTACCACAGTCACACCCCTCCCTGCACCTGTCCCTGTCTCACTTGCTGACCACTCTGGAGGCCCGGTGCTTGCACGGTCCACCACTGTGCTTCCGTGTCCGGCGGTCCCGTCTGGTGAGCTGTCTGGTCTCCACCTCCCCTCGTTCTCCACGAACTTGGTGAACAACGCTGTCCTTTAGGATGCGGGGGTTGATACCTTCACCCCTGGGCTACAGCGTGTGGCGATTTGTACGTGCTCTCACCTGCCGTGACCGGCCGTCACCTCACCACGTTCACACGTGCGCCTGGGTCCAGTCTGTACACCCTCACCACTACATCGCGCTACGCCCCTTTGTCTCCTCAGCTGTACGCGTCTGCTCAGGTAGCTACCCAGTGTGAGTGTCGCCGCCTGTCGCACGACACTCTCCTGTGGCACCACCGCCTTGGTCACCCCTCCCTGCCTCGCCTTCGTGGCATGCACTCTCGCTCCCTGGTCTCTGGTCTTCCCAGGTCTCTGCCTGCCCTCCCTCCCTCGTGTGCGCCGCCTTGCATTCCCTGCGTCGAGGGGCGGCAGCGCGCCGCTCCTCACTCCTCCTCGTTTCCTCCCACAGAGGCTCCGCTGCAGACTCTCCACCTGGACGTGTGGGGCCCAGCCCGCGTCCAGGGGCACGGCCGCGAGCGGTACTTCCTGCTGGTTGTCGACGACTACACGCGTTACACCACGGTCTTCCCCTTGCGCAGCAAGGGGGACGTCCTTGCTATTTTGATCCCTTGGATCCACGCTGTTCGTCTCCAGCTCCGCGAGCGGTTCGAGTCGGACTTTCCCGTCCTGCGTCTGCACTCTGACAGAGGTGGTGAGTTCACCTCCAACCTCTTGCGAGCCTTCTGTGAGGAGCATGACATCACCCAGTCGTTCATGCTTCCGGCCTCTCCGCAGCAGAATGGGGTTGCTGAGCGCCGCATTGGTTTAGTCATGGAGGTCGCTCGTACCTCCATGATCCATGCGGCTGCCCCCCATTTTCTGTGGCCGTTTGCGGTCCGGTACGCCGCGCGTCAGCTCAACCTCTGGCCCCGTGTCTCCTTACCGGAGACCTCGCCCACATTGCTGTGGACGGGGAAGGTTGGCGATGCGTCGCGTTTCCGGGTCTGGGGTGCTCGTGCCTTTGTCCGCGATACCACCGCGGACAAGCTCTCCGCTTGCGCCATTCCCTGCGTCTTCCTTGGTTTTCCTACTGACGCGCCTGGCTGGCAGTTCTACGACCCCACCACGCGCCGTGTCTTTGCGTCCCTTGGCGTCACCTTTGATGAGTCAGTCCCCTACCGCACTGCCCCTCGCCCCCTGCCGCCGCTCGCTCTCGCTCCAGGTCCTCCCCAGGTAGACCCCCTCCTTGCGCCAGGTCCTGCTCCTTCAGGTGTTTCTCAGGTAGACCCTCCCGTGCCTGCGCCTGTTGAGGTCACTGGTGACTCGGGTCCTGCTGGGGGTGCTGAGCCTGGGGGTGCGGAGCCTGAGCGTGAGGAGCCTGGGGGTGTGGGGCCTGGAGGTACGGAGCTTGGGGGTGCTGAGCCTGGGGGTGCGGAGCCTGAGCGTGCGGAGCCTGGGGGTGCTGAGTCTGGGGGTGCGGAGTCTGGGGGTGCTGAGCCTGCGCGTGAGGAGCCTGGGGGTGCTGTGTCTGGGGGTGCTGAGCCTGTGTGTGCGGAGTCTGGGGGTGCTGAGTCTGGAGGTGAGGCGCCTGAGGGTACTGAGACTACTGGTACGCGGTCTCCTTGGAGCAGCCGCCTTCGTCCGCGTGTGCCTCTCACCTCACAGCAGCTGCATGACTGGTACGGTCGCCGTCAGGGTCGTGCTGCTGGAGCCCGGGGTTCTGCCACTCGAGGTGTTTCTGTTGACATCGCTGGAGCTGGGAGTGGTGCTGGTACTTTGTCTACTGGAGGTCCTGGGGTCGCTGACCTGGAGGTGCTCGTACTGGAGGTACTGGAGCTGCTGGGGCTGGAGGTACTGCGTCTGGGGGTGCTGCTACTGGAGACACTGAGGCTGGAGACCCTGGGACTGGAGGTGCCGGTTCTGGGGGTGCTACTGCTGGAGACACTGCGGCTGGAGACCCTGGGACTGGAGGTGCTGGTTCTGGGGGTGCTGCTGCTGGAGACACTGAGGTTGGAGACCCTGGGACTGGAGGTGCCGGTTCTGGGGGTGCTGGAGCTGCTGGTGCTGGAGGTGCTGGAGCTGCTGGAGGTACTGGAGCTGCTGGTGCTGGTGCAGCTGCGCCGACACGACTGTTCTTCGCTCCGCCGTCTCCGTCGTCTCTGCCGCCGCCTGACTCTGCTCTTCGTCAGGTTCTTACCCTCCCGTCGTCTACTGGTCTTCCGTTACAACCTGGCTCACCGCTGCCTGCTCCTTCTCCTTACACTGAGCAGACAGGTGGTCCGGACTCGCCTAATCGTCCTGGTCGTTCCGGTCGTCGTGTTCCTCGTTCGCGTCAGCCGGCTGTCCCCAGCACACACCTCGTAGTCCGTCGTCCTTCCTCTGCTCCGCAGCCTGTTCCTCTGCCGTCTCCCCCTGCGTCCTCTCTGCCTAACGTTGCGGACCCTGCGTCTGACCGGTTTCGTGCTGAGCACCCTACTGTCACGCGTCTGTTAGCCACTGTTGTCACTGACCCGTTGTTTGAGTCTGCTGCTGCGTCTGCCTTGGTTGCTGAGCTTGTTGACTTTGCTGCTGCCTGTCGTCTAGACTATGCCACAAGTTTTGTTACTGAGTCTGAGTCTGTCTGTCCTCCGTCCGTCGGGGGTGAGTGTGCT